CATTCATACGTGTCACCAAGTTCACAAATTTTCCATAGAAATAGACATTTTATTAAAATTTACTACAGCTTTAATCAGATATGTTTTTATTTTGTTTAATTTGTCTTTAGGTGAATTAAATATGATAATTTACGCTTCACTTGTTCAGTCAGTGCGTTCTCTGTCAAGTAAGTCATAATCATTCTATACACAGCATTGGGGGCTCGTCCGGGATAGTTTTATTTGTTGTCAATCAATTGTTAAATTTTCTGTACAAATCACTATTTATCAGCTTTCATTTAAGTGTATTTGCTTCACTGAATTCCTGCTTTAAATAAAATCTGCAATAAAGTTTTCAAGTTGACAAAAAAAAGGTGTTTTTACGCGATGAGATGCAACTCATAAATCACTTCTCCTTGACCTGTGCCGCACCGTCCGCATTGTTCATTTTTACGTCTGCAAGCCTCGGACGTTGCCGTTTTCTTTTCCAGATGTGGCACACGGTGTTCTGACTTCAGCTGCAGCGGGCCACTCCGTGCCTGAAAACACCAACGCGACGGAGGCGCATCGCAGAGCTAAACACCTGAACCGGTGTCTCGCAAACACCCAACTATCCTTCTGTCCTGCTACATCTGTAACGAAACCTAGCAGAACCTGCAAAGCACCCCGCATATGTGTTGTAAGCATTTTTTATTTCCATCCCCCCCACTTCTGTTTGCAGTGGCGGAATGCGCCAGCTGCATTAAGTGGGCCATTTATACGATGGGGGCAATTCATCTTACAAAACCGTCTTATTAGACTGTCACTTACAGAGTATGAACGGTGCCTTCAAAACGCCCCGGGGGATTTCTCTGTTATTTTACTGCGAGAGAGAGAAAACAACGCCTAATTGGACCGAGTCGTCTCATCTTCAGTGGGGGGGTGGGGGGACGACAAAAAAAGGACAAAAAAATGGAAAACTCGAGCTTAGAGGGCGGCTCGAGCTGAACCAAACGTGATGGAGTAAGGCGCCGCCTTACTGACGGAGCGACAGACAGGAAGGAGAGGAGGAGGAGGAGTGATGGCCTGTCTGCGCTGTGCGGAAAGTAATCTCAGAGCAATCAAGAGGCGGGGGCGGCCGGCAGCTCTGCGCTCCACAAAACCAACGGGCAGGTAGAGAAAAATCATTAGGCGCTGCTCCTGACCTCACAGGTCGCTGTGGTTGGACAACCGGTGGGTTCTGTATTAGACCCCCGCTGGTAGACAGACATGAAACTAATAAACTAACAGGAAGAGCACGTAGAAATAATTATCTCATACATTCTGATCAACGTTCTTGTCGATGTGCTCTCAAAGACACCGAGTTCTGTGGAAGCCATCTGTTGCGAGGGGCCTCCCAACTCGAGATGCTCCACGGTTTAAAAAACTTTTGCACATGCATTCGCCGTTGCTAAGAAAAAGAGACTAAAGGGCGCTTTGATGGGGGGGGTTGTGGCGAGGTCGGATATCATGCGGCGCCTCTTTAGTGCTGCCGTTTGTGATCGACAGTGAAGCTTTTATCTCCCCCAGTGTGAGGCTGAATAAAAGCTGCTTTCACTCACCTTCAGGTTTTTGTGCTCGAGAGTCGGGGGTGAGCCCGACCGCACTGCAGGGGAAGCGGTGGTGGGATTCAGTGGTGGTGGATCCTTTATGGGGGGGGGGGGCACAGAGCAGGCAAAATTAACTGCTCGGCAACCCGAGCACTAATAGATGCCAGAGTGGGTGCGTCTGCTGAAGGGTGATGGTCCAGAAGCTAAAGGGATAGTTCAGATCCCTCAAACAAAGGCTACAAACAGTTAATATCTTACCTGTTTTAGATAACTATGTGACAGAACTCACCAGGGCTTAATTTGATCCGGATCCTGCCGGAACAGGATCTGGGAACTCTCTTATTTTGACAGGGTGTGTTCCGGTAACTGTTTGTTTGGATCAGGTAACTCTCAAGCTTATTAATATATATTTTTTAATAATATTTTTAATAAGATAATAATTTAATAATAAAGTTATGAAAAAATATGACTGCCTTGAACTAATAAAACTTTTATTGCAGTGTTTCTCCTACAAGCAGGGCACCCCCCCTACCGGACCAAACTACATGCAACTCTCCCACCCGTCGGCACTGACCGAGTGCTAAGCTAGCAGCACGCTAGCTAAAGGCAGAAGCTAAAGGCAGAAGCTAAAGGCAGCACTCACACTGCCTCTTCCCTCATGCTGAACCCCCCCCCCCCCACTTGAAAATTGTCAGTACAAACAGAGAGCAGCACAGATGTGTCTCTGTCTCACCCCCCACCTCCAAGAAAACGGTCAGTATGAACCTGGATATGTAAACTGAAAATAATCACATAAACATTCATTTTAAACACAACAGCCACTCACGGCGTCTTAATATCACATAAGAGCTTCTCCTTCAAGAAGCATTTCTGCTTCTACCCTTAAAAAATCTCTGCCCCCAAAAGAGTGGCGGGGGCAAGTGCCAGCTAACCAGGCAGTCGTACGTGGGCAGGAGCCCACAGGTTGTCGCCATGAACAGACGGAGGAGGCGCATGGAGGTGGAGTGTGGAGTCAACAACGAGCAGGGACAGTGTTGGACTTGGAACCGTCAAGTAAGGGTGGGGGTGGGGGGGTAGGATGCTTGACAGGAGTGTTTACAAACCTAGGTAAATATAGATGTTTAACAACCTGTTAAAATACACCAGAATACAGGAATTAACATCTACTTTATTAAATATTTCTGGGGGAGGACCCCCAGACCACCCCGCCCCCATCTGCATTTTGGCATCGATCAATTTACTAATTAAACCCTGGAACTCAGCTGAAGAACTTAAATTTGAAACTTAGTAATCATTCACTTCTCCAGAATCTCTGAATGTTCTGTTAGAGCTCCAGTTGGCCCATGTACGGCAAGCGAGTTCGCCATTTAATCAAACCATTCTTCGTTACTGAGCCAATGCTAAAAATTTGTGTGTTATGTTGGGATTTTGGTATTTGTGCGATTTTTAGTTTTTGAAATAGTTAGCTTTGTCGGCGTTACTTAGTATTTCCCCTCCCATGTTTTTCCGTATAAATGCCCACTGCTAAAATACGATACGGTTTTTCCTATTGGGACGTGGAAAAGGTGAAAACAAATTTCCATACTTTTTCAAACTTTTCACCACTTTATAGAATCAACGTTAGAATACACGTTATTATTTTTAAGCTGGAAGTACGAACGCTAGCTGCTGCTGCTTGCACTTGCAAATAACCGTAGAAGTCCACGTAAAAAGCCATGTGATGTGAAACGGACATTGATTTGACGGTTTATAACGGTCTCCGCCTCACGCTGACTAGCCGTTAGCTTGTCACTTCGATCAGTTAAACTCGTTTTATGAAACAGAGGGTTTCTGCTTTTTGGCACCGGCAGATACTGATGTCATCGGCTATTAAAGAAGACGGCGGCGGCAGTTTGGGCCATGGCAAAGCTGCCAACCTTACGTGAAGGTTTGGTTTGTGCTTCGAGCACTCAAAATCAGCTGATTTACGAGCTAAACTGTGAGATGGAAGCAATTTGTGAGAATGGCAGGCCACTTGCAGCTTCTGGGACTCGCCAGCATGTTGGGGACGACCTTGGAGGGAGTTTATAAGGACGGACCAGTAGAAACACACAACACAAAACAGATTCTTCCCCCAACAGCTTACTCTAAAGTGGAACAAGCCAGTTATGTTGGTGCTAAGATGGTCTCTTTGGCACGCCCCCTCCTCCAATGCTGACCCTCTTCCTCGTCGACAGTCATGTCAAACTGGTTCAAATCCAACAAAGTCCATGCTCAATAATCCAGGTATACAGGACTTTGTTGGTTTTGAACCAGTTTGACATGACTGTCGACAAGGAAGAGGGCCGGCACTGGAGGAGGGGGTGTGCCAAAAAGACCATCTTAGCTCCAACATAACTGGTTTGTTCCACTTTGGAGCAAGCTGTTTTGGGGAAGAATCAGTTTTGTGTTGTGCGTTTCCTTGACTGATGAAGCCTTCTGGATGGAAGGTGAAATGTTTCAGCACAAAAGAAGAAACTGTTCAGACGACCTGACTGAAAATTGTTGGATAATAAAGCTGATCCTGATTCAAAGGGCTATTTAAAGCAGGTAAGATGGTTATTGTTCATGACGACTCCACAGAACCCCACTTTAACAGGATCACAACAAACACCAAGAACCTTTTGTTTTTAAAAACTGCCCTGATCTTCACTGCGTCCTTCAGCCCCCTCCCAACTCAAAACGTCTGCCTACTTTCAAGGGCAACGCCCGTGTCTCGAGTTTTTCTTAGACTTTGCAGGTCTGGCATTTTTTAATTTGTAAAAGGTCTTCATATTGCAAATGTTGTAATTAGTTCAGTGTAATTAGTGCAATTTATTGTGTTGTGTATCCCTCTGAGACACGAACACAAAGGTCTTCATTTGAAATATTACACACTGTAATGGGGAGTTGGTCTCTTCTTTATTTTTACATCCCTCGGAGATTCACAGGCTTGTTGGTGTATAACCGGAGTGGACAGGACAAGCTTCTTTTTTAATTCTTTAAGGTGGGGGGAGCAGGTGTGATGAGGGAGCCTGTGTTCCTCTTTATGCAATTAGCCCTCAGTCAACTTTATTAAAAAAGCAGCTAATCGGGGGCCGGCCGGCCTGTCGGACAGGGACAGACCTGAAACCTGGGCTGTAATTCAGCGCTCCGAGCAGGTCAGCTGAGATTAGCCAGATTATACTCCATATCTCCTGCAGCCACTAATGCAGAGCTAAGAACTATGTGACTACATGCACAGAGGAAATAATAAAGATACAGAGCCCCATGTGGAAGGAGGTCCATCCCCTTATTGGAGGAAGTGATGATATTAAACAGAATTATTCGGGCAGGTGACAATGTGGCATCAGCCAATTTCCCTGGATATGAAAAGGGAAGGATTACCCGTGTGTGGTCGGGGGGGGGGGGGGGGAGCTGCCACCATGCCGCCTCCCTCCTTTGCTAATTGTTTACCTTTGAGCCACAGCGTGTCTTCCTCCTCTGCTTCTACTTTCTGTTTGTCTTCCTCCCTCTCCTCCTCGCTGTGTTTGTCTTTGGACGACCTCCGAGGCCGGGCTCGTCTCTCGCCGATGACGCTCTCCTGGTCCGCCTCAACCTCCAGGCGTCGTGGCGGCCCGGCTGACTCTGAAACCAGCAGAACTCGAATTAGAGAGAGGGGCGAGACAGAGGAAAAGAGAAGACGAGAAATAACTCGGCTAACCGAGTTGCCAGGCGTAATCAGACTTTGACAGGTTTTCGTTCCCCGGCGAGATATCCATCATCTGAAAAGTGTGACAAAACGACTGCTGACGTGAAAGTAAAACTCGATGCGGCTCATTAGAGACGTTATTACAGCAGCGATCATAAGTCCTGCACTGACAAGTCCGGAGGACGTGAGGTGTGAAATGAACGAACATCAGCAGGGAGGAGAACGAGGAACGCTCTGGTTTGATGACACTACGAGTATGTGTTTGTGTATATTTGGTCCAATGTTGCGCCGAGAGACTCCCTGCCTTAAACTCTGATAGGAGGCAGTTTGAAGTGAGGCTTCTATGGATACGTTATGCACAATTATTATCTTACCTGCTGTAGATGGCTCTTGTAACAAGTTTGAAGAAATTGTGTAACAACTAACAGAGCAGAGCGGATGGATACCGTTTTAAATAAACTCCCACCTCAAGAACATTGTGGAGGTTCTAAAGAATTTACTTGTTAAGATTCAGTCATTCAACCTTTCATCTCATTGAGACTTGGACTAATTACCAAGAGAGCCGTTTTAAACAAAGAACACAGATGAGGTGCAGACATCAATAGACAATCATATAAAAACACAAAATGAAAAGTAAATAGAAAAATATGAGACAAAAATGAAACAAAAACAGCTACATTACAAAGCAATGACTACTGCTACAGACTACTGCTGCTAATGCTAATTTTACTGATGTTAATGCTAATAATGCTAATGTTAGTTCAATTACTGTTAATGCTAACACTGCTAATGTTAGTTCAATTATTGTTAATGTTAATACTGCTAATGTTAGTTCAATTACTGTTAATGCTAATACTGCTAATGCTAATTTTACTGATGTTTGTTTGTTTGTCATTTTTATTCATTTCATATTTAAAACACAAAAAACAATTTAGAGACCAAATGAGAAAAAAAAGCTAATACTGCTAATGTTAGTTCAATTACTGTTAATGCTAATACTGCTAATGTTAGTTCAATTACTGTTAATGCTAATACTGCTAATGTTAGTTCAATTACTGTTAATGTTAATACTGCTAATG